TCTCTCTCCCTCTCCCTCTCCCTCTCTCTCACTCTCTCTCTCTCTCTCTCTCTCTCTCTCTCTCTCTCTCTCTGTGTCTCTCTCTCAAAAAAGGAATAAAATAAGAATTGCACTCTGACTTTTTCCTTCTCTACAGGCTAAAAAAAAAGATGAATAAATGAAATTGACACAAACATGTAATTTTTTTATCTATCAGAAAGAAAAAACACATTTGATTGAAGGATGCAAAAGACACTGGGTCAACAATGTATTGTCAAGTTAAGACGTGGTCATCTTATACAGGAGGCCGCCTTAAACAGTGTCGTTTAATTGAAAAATTATAAGGGGGAGGAAATGTGAAATGACTGTTTCAATAGGTGATTGTCTTATACAGGTAGCCATAAGAGCAAGTTCAACTATTCTACTGAACATTAATAAAGGAATGGGGAAAAGGGAAATATTTTTATTGAACATGAAATGAAGAAAGAGAAGCACTGTTTTCTAGGCAGAACACAAAGAAAGGAGGACAATACATTCCAGGGAATGAAAATTCTATGCCACACTGTAGTCTTTACCTCGAGTTCGAGACCAATCGGGGACACTCATGATTTAATTGTTTATTTTAATGTAGGTCTTTTTACCCTCCCATCGACTCAATTTAGATCACTAAGGAGGCAGGCTTCCACCTCTGTCTGTCAGGGCCAACCCAGGCTCAGAAAGATACAACATCCCAGCAGAAAGACCGAGATACTCAATTTAAAAAAATTTTCCCACACCAGAATCAAACTCAGGTCTCCGCCATGCGACAGCGAAGCACCTAATCACTACACCACAGATGCTGGTCACACTCATGAGTTGCTCTCACAAAACCCCAGACACACCAAGACAACAAGCTGGACTGATTTTTCCATGACAAAGTAATGCTACAGCCAAGAAAACTCAAGAACACAAAAAGACATCAGTTCACAGAGGGCCTTTTCATTCCTAAGCACTCATTTACAACATTAGTTTTAAGATTGATATTAGCAAGTACTGATGGATCCCTAAGGCACAATTTGAGGAAGAGGATGAAATGGTAAACAAATAATTTTTCAAAGAATGTGGAGCATAATAGCATGGTGATTAACCATAACACAACCACTGAAGCAAGTCTCCAGAGAGTCTGCATTGAACATTTCACCACAATTTTTTCATATTAGATCTATGTCTTGAATAATATCTTGAGCTGAAACCACACAAGCTTGTTATGCACACAAAAAACTTACCCTAAATGGCTATCCGGCATAATGATGTTTTGTATCTCCCCACCCACAATAACAGGCACAAAATTATCGTTGAGCTGTAGTCTACAACGCATGGCAACACTATCACTTCACCGGAGCACAGATTAAGACAATACTAACACCGAAAAGAAGAAGAAGGAGAACAGGGAGAAGCATCCACTAATTATGATTCAGACAGGAAAAGAAAGTGGACCACAGCAGATAAGAAGAGATAGAGGAAACCCTCCAACAGACAATCGGTGTCTTGAGAGGCCACTAGTAGTACTTGGAGTAGGAACGTTCTGACAGCTACCCAGCCTGGGGGACGTAAACAGTAGCAGGGGTTTCATCCCTTGACAGTTGTAACTTTCCTATCAGTGCCACCTCTTCATTGGTAGCTCTCTTACAGATATCTGCAAGTCCTGTTAAGCTAATCTTCATGTGCACAAATATGATTTATAATGCTTCAGATGTCAGCAAGAAAATATATAATCACTTATCATATACATTTACACATGTACACATATGTCAAAGTGTCTACCAGAAAGTAAACTCAAACGCACATTATAAATGCAAAGACACTAAAGCACAACACTTCTTTTTATACTTTTCTTGTTTAAATTTCTTCAAATTTCTTTCAAAACACAAACAAAATTGTCCAAGACGGCTACCCATTGTCGGGAAAAAAGTGGTTGTATAAGGTGGACATCTTAGGAGATATACGAAAGATGAAATTTAACATTTTTATCACAATCCTAGTGCTGAAAGTTTTAACTGACCTTGCTCTCCTTTTACTTCCGTACAAATTTTCTTCAAGAGAATTCTTGAAACTAAAATACATTGAATAAACACATTTCACCATACCAAAACAAAGAGATCGTTCAAGAAGTTTAACAGAACAGGAATTTTAAAATCTCGAATGAACACAGAAACAGCTACATTACATTCCTCACACAGACTTTGGTGCTCATGAGTTTTTGCGAGTAATAATAGCTTGTCTGATGATGACCAATACTTCCGCAGAGGAGAATATTTCTCTAGCAAAATAGAAGAATTTGAAGAATTAAAGGTGAAGATGACTAGTGGCTTCAGCTGTGGCTGATATAAGACTGATTCCGGCAGAGAAAAGTTTGCCACATTTTGAACATTTTTGTGAGTAGTGAGTTCGTAACAGAATACTCACTGGTCAGGTGTTTTGACATGCTTGTCCCCAGCAGGCATGGTCAGCTGGCTCGGACATGGAGGCAGTGCTCACAGGTCTGAAGTCACAGGCACGAAAAAAACGGGGCACATGACCTGAGACACTAAGCTTTGTGATGGTCCCGGGAACTGCAGCAAAAATATCTAGCCTTACATCCTGTGTCGTTATCACTCTTCACTTCTGCAGATAAAAAAGAAACCCTGTTTAAATGCTGGCCTAGTGAAGACTGTCAATTTCTGATAAGAATTAAAGGTGAGGTTCTGAAGCAGCATCTCAAGGAACAATAACATAAAAACAGACTGTGAGGTCCCTAAATCTTATCTAGTTTGAGTTGTTCTGTGAACAGAGGAGAATATCTTAAACTTTTTGCGAGGAATGTGCGCAATGCACTTTGCTACTTCACTTCATTGTATGTATCCTAATTTACAGTACACCAGGAGGGGCCAAATATAACTCACTAACTTGATTCCATAAAAAACAACCTTTTTTTCAATTCCATACAACCCGATTCTCTTCATTTCAACAAATTAAAATAGGACTTTTACACTGCTGGAAAAATTGACTCTTGGTAACCTTTTTGGAATATGTGAGGCAAAAAAAGTCATCATCACTTATAAACAAAAAAAATGATGTGACAACAGTTAGAACAGAGATATCGCTAAAAATTTTGAGCTTTTTTGTATATATATATACTAGGTTCATGTGAAACAATTTTGTGAAGTTCACTATCCCAAAGAAACTTTTCTCAGAAAACATAAACATGGCATGAAATTGTAACTTCACAGCCCATTTTCTTTGCTTCGTCATCGTGACTCACAAAAATGAAAGTTCGTGGAGGCCAATCGGTCCACAAACACATAACGAGAAAAACAAGTCTGATCAAAAGAATGAAAATAATAGTAAAATATCCCAGTACCTGATCTCGTACAGCAAAATAAGTCAATGTTTGAACAGTTATCTCAACAATGAGACCAAAAAATCTGTCTGAAAAATATATTTTAACCAAACATATACTATAGGCCCTACTGGTACCCCCTCTCCCTAAAGTTTGCTTACTTTGTTGGCAATTTTGTAGTTTCGTTCGTTAAAGTCAAGCCACTCAAGCAGGGGGGTTTCAGGGGGGCTTGCTCCCCTGACCTAAAGTCTACCATGAATAAGTCACCCCATTGATTTTTATTTCAAAACATTGAGGACTTCAAAGAAAAATAAAACCAACTTTAAAAAATGCAGCAAGAGGATCTATGCATTCAATGATGATTCAACACACGACATAGGCCTATGTTGGAAAAAAAAAGAAAGAAAAAGAACATAGGCTACTTATCAGTATTACATTGTTTACATGAAATGCCAGTTCATGTTGGATGGGCCTTATTGATCTTTCGTCTTCTATATTGGTCTTGAAAACAACCTGTGGCTGTAAGCCTTCCCTGGATAGACTTTCCGCAGTCAGATTATTTACAGAAGTCTTGAACAAGACAGGGAAACTTTGCAGAATATTAAAAAATGTAGATTTCATAGAGAATCTAGCCCAAGCTTGATAAAATCTTAACAGAACATACTCACCTCAAATATGATCAATTACTATTTCACTTTACTTTGCCACTGCCAAGACTATAGAAAGGAGAACACATACGGCAGCAACTAGATCAAGGGGAAAATGTCTTCGATACATTGGCAGCGGTCCATGGAAAAATCGATCATCATTGCTTGCTGCTATTTCAGTCTGGCACCGATGTTGTGCACATTCTTTCGATCCTATCAATTACAGTTCCAGACGGGTGCAACTGGGTGCAATTAAAACACGAAGATTAAAAACGAATTAGACTATGCACAAGCTCATAAATTGGCGTCTTATGGAAGAAAATATTATTTTCTTTCTGTTTCTCACATACCTGTTAAAACACAGCAGTCTTCTTCACAATTCCCTCACCTGCAGCAAGCGAACAGTGTCACACACAGTGTATGTTTTACCTGTTGACCAATGGACTCTCTCAATCTAGACAGGCTATAGCCAATCAGATCAAGGGGGTTCGCCAAAGGGCTGCAGGGGAAACCACTCGCGCGCACAGCAACAGCTGATCATGAATGAACATGATTTTGTCGATGCGAAAGAAACGCGATTCGACTGGTCGAGTAGTAAAGTACAGAGATCAGGGTGTGCACCATAGGCAAACAAAATCAATGCTACTCAAATACCCCCGCCCACGCCCTCTCTTGCTTCCAAATCTGTTCTCAAGCATTATTCACATATTTTGTTATTATGAGGTAATCCAAAGCAATCAAATAATATTTGTTGGACTATTGTGTATCCTCTTGTTCTTTCTGTCGAAGTTGTAAAGGCAACATCGTGAGTGAAGTTTATGTTATGTCAATGTGGGACATTCTTTTCTTTTTTTTCTCTTGGTTCTTCCTTTATCTCTTTCGTACA